ATAATTAATTTATGAGATAACATGAATTGAGTCTTTTATAAAGAAACAAATAATAATTTAAATTGAATCTTATAAATAAAAAAATGCAGCAGTAATTTTATGTAATTAAAATAAGATTGTTAGTTTAATGTAAAAAATATATCTTCTTCACAAAAGTTTTAAAAAGTTTATGATATGGAGAAAGAAACTCATTGTAATGTAGAGGTTTTGAGCAAATCAAAGAGTTTAATTCAGTTTATTGAGTAAAGTGTGTGAGTTGTTGCAAACTTTCTTAATATCATTCTCAAAATTAAAAATAAAGGACTTATAGTAAATATTATTTAGTGAAGACTTTTAGTTAAATTTTAAAATATGAATTATAAGATTTTGGAGTCAATCATATGCAGTTGTCTTCAATTTTTTTTAAAAAAAAAAAAAAAAACGACAAACATGCTGAGATTTGTGAGTTGTTACAAATATCCTTATTAACTTGTTCCCATATATAACAAAGGAGGCTTAGAACAAATCTTAGTTTAGCCAAGTATTTTAGTTAAATTTTAAATTATGTATCATAGGTTATATGTGATAAAGAGTCAATCACGTTAGCTGAGTAAATGAGTTACCGTAAATTTCTTAATATCGTTTTCGTTTCTCATGATAAAAAGGGTTTAGAATAAATTTTCAGTTAAATTTTAAAATATGTATAATAAGATTTTGGAGTTAAGTTAATGACGCTAACTCTGTTAAAGTGTAGTTGTCTATGATAAAAATTCAATGACGCTAACATTCATTGGTCTAATATTCAAGAGTTAAGTAAATAAACAATTCATCAATTATTATTTTGAAAGCATTAATTAATGCACGTTTGACAACCCTTGCATTTGAAAAAAAAAAAAATTGTTTATAAAAAAATCTTTCTACAATTTAGTAAAAATAAATGATTTCCATAAAAAGCTAAATTTAACAAGTAATTATTATGTACCCTAAAAGAAATCTGAATGTACCAAAAACAAGTGATTATTATATAACTATCCTTTGAATACATCACAGCTTTTTTCTTTGGGTAACAAATAATACATCACAAATTAATAATGACGTATAGCTAACCAATCAGTTGCATTTTTTCCAAAATAGAAGATGAATATGAAATAATTAAATTATGCACTGGTTGACATTCCTCTTATTTAGAATTAAATTAAATAGTTGCATAATTTATTTCTTGATCCAGTGTACCGTAGAAAAAAAAATTATGTTAAGGCAGTAAGGCTACATCAACATTACATGGCTTGGAGGAATCATTCTTACTCAGATTTTTTTTTCTTTATTTACCGAAAAATTTTGAATTTACAAAATTGATTTCAGGTGAAAGCGTGCTCAAGAAAGATGATTTATGTTGAATAATATTTGTAAGAAAAATAATTTAAATACAGTAAATATTATTCAGATAGCGTAGATAAAAGTTGTTTTTAGATAAGTAATTTTAACTAATTTTGGTAATTCATTATGTAAGCAAAATAGTTTGTTTTAACCAATAACATAGCAACCCTAAGCCTGTAGTTCAGCGGTAAGGGTTGATCCACGCTTAAGCAAGGCCAGGGATTCGAATCCTGCCTTGTGTATGCAGCTTAGAGCTGTCAAAATGGGCTCAGCCCGGTGAGCCAACCCGGCCCACCACGGGTTCGAGCCGGGTTGGGCTAAAAAAAATTTGAAAATTTTAATACGGGCCAATTTTGAACCCGGCTCACTAACAGCCCGGCTCACCCGGGTTGAACCCGTGGTGAGCTAGGCTGACCCACCAACCCGTTAAAAAAAAAAACTTATGCTTTAAATTTCATTTTATTGGGCCCAATTGGCCAAATAAGCATGAGGATTTAAATTATTAGGCCCAAAAGAATATTTGAGATGATTTTGAATTATATTTATTTACATGAGATTATTTACATTTTATTTGATTATATTTAGAATTATCATTTAATTATGATTTTGGGCTTTAGTTGTATATTAAACAAAATTACATTTTTTTTAAATTAGGTGAGCCAACCCGTTTAACCCACCAACCTGTGGTGGGCCGGGCCGGGCTCAATTTTTTTGAGCTCACTAATAAATGAGCCGGATTGGGTTGGCCCACCAAATGCTCAACCCGTGGTGGGCCGAGTCGGGCCGGGCCGGGTTACCCGTTTTGACAGCTCTAATGCAGCTGTGTTAGAAGTTTGGTTTGTCAAAACATATTCATAGACTTCAGTTGATAAATGAGATATGTACGTTGTGTCAGTGTATATGTGGTGCAATATATTCCATTGTCAAAGTAACGTAACAAAGTCAATGTAACGTGACATCATTATTTACAGGTGTTGATTAGTTAGGCTATGAGATTAGACCAAAGGAACACTTAAAATATTAAATTAACACAACATTTTTCTAAAATACCACTACTATATATATATATATATGTGTGTTAATTCATTACTTATCCAGATTTACGTTACATTAATATTTATTGCTACTAATTAAAATGATAGCATCAATGAAGTTAGCCTTTTAAAAGATAATTACTTTAGTTTATCACCGAAAAAATGATTTGAGTGTGTGTTACTTTATTTTAAATCAACTATTGATTTAGTGGTGGTGGAGAATTTATATATTATACAATATTAATTTCTAATATTGTTATTACCATTATATGAAAAAAAATATTTCAAAAATAGATATCATCAATTATTTTATGTCATAATATTCAAATTATCAATATAATATTAATAAAACTTATTTTATTATGTAATATCAAGCATAAATATATTAGTCTGTCAATTCAAATATCAAGCATATAAATAAATAAAAGATATATATTTATAAATATTTATAAATAACCATAAATATATTTATAAATAACCATAAATCAATAACACATAAATATATATCAAGCATGAGAGTGCACCACACAAAAGATACATTTTCACTTATTTTTTTATTTATTAATTTCTATTTTGAGCATCAAAATCCTTACAAATAATATCTTTAACGTTATTATAATATGACAATTTTTAAACATTGTGATCCGGCGGGAGGCATAAACATAGCATGATGGGAGTCCATTTTTAAACAGTGTGATCGGGGCGATGCATAAACATAACATGATGGGAGTCAATTTTCTTTTAATACTTATATGTAAAAATTTTAATATTCTAAATAATTTATTATTATTATATATATATATATATATATTTTATCTCTTTTTCTATTACATTATATACTAATCTCACTCCCCCCCTTCCCCTTTTTTAATTAAGTATAAATTAACATGATAATTTTTTTATCTATCCATCTATAATTTTTTTTTAATAAATTTTAGAAAGGCAAAAAAAAAAAAAATTTAAAAATGATTTTGGTACATTTTTAGAAAATGGAGAAAAATGGCCCCTCTCCTACTCCCCTCCCTCCAACCCTCATTGTGATATACTCGACTAGATTTGGTTAGACTTATGAAGATACATTTTCATTTATTAACTTCTATCTTGAGTACGAAAATCCTTACAAATAATAATTCTAACATTATTGTGATGTGGGATAGTTTAATCATCGTGATAGACTTAATTTTCTTAGACTTACGAAGATATGTTTTCATTTATTAACTTCTATATCTTGAGCATTATGAGTAATATCTCTAGCATTATTGTGATGTGACGATTTTTAAACATGAGAGATGCTTTGACTAGAATTTTTTGGACTTGGGTAGAACCTTATTTCTTCACCACGACAGTACTTAATAAACTAATCCTACGCAACAACTCATAAAAAAATGGCTTAATCAAATACCCAAAACACGTACATGAATCTTAATACGAGAAGCACATGAATCTGCTTATTTTTTAATCAAATCCACTAGTTTCCATGTGACGGTGTAGACAAATTTTGCCCACCCTAGCACGTTGGGTTGCAAAACATGGATGATTTAATTAATCACGAATGCATTAACATTACATTACTCTTGGTTAAACAAAATTAGAATAACCACGAGTAGATATATTTTTATCCATTATGAATGTCTTAAAAAAGTAGTTGTCGGATAGATCCTGAAGATTTAGGTTATTTTCTGAAAAGACAAAAGAAATGAAAGGGACAAATTTGTCACGGAGCAACTATTGCGATACATGACAGGTCTGCTACGCGACAAACAAGGAAGTCGGCAATTGTCGGCCGGTGAAGCGGGAAGGAGAGATAAACAACATTTATTACATTCTTAAAAGCCAAAATTTGTCCCCAACTTTTTTTAATCGATTAATAATTATAATTAGTTAATTTTTATTATAAACCACACCTATTTCCTGTCTGAGATATTTTTTTCGGCTGATATAATCATTACTGTAAAATGGTAAAAAAAAATTCATTAAATATTTAACATACTTACGTAGCATCAACGGTTTATGAAGATCAACTCCTATTAATATTTTATTTTAACTTTAATATTAATATCAGTACGAAATAACATTTTCAAGTTAAGTATTTTTTTTGCATGTCCGAGTTAAGTATAATCATTATTAATAATAAGATTTTATTTTTTAATATTTAACGCAATTATATAAGGACTTTGACTTAAAATTATTAATTAAGTAGATAAAAATAATTTAATTGACTATTTTTAGTATAAATATAATTATATTATCAATAAAAATAATTTAATTGACCATTTTTAGTATAAATATAAGGACACAAATCCAAAATTTTATTTGAAGACGTTAATATCACTTAATTTTTATCACATTACAACGAGTTATTAATAGTAGGAAATAATATTTAGTTACAAATACTTCTTAAAAAATACGAAAAAAATAAAATATTTATTTCATAATATTTTACTTATTAGTTTTTCAAAATATTTTTTTTTATTTTGTATATGTATATATATTTTAAATGGTGATTATAATATATATATATATTTTTTATCGAAATAGGTTGGTAACTTATCTAGAGCTAGGTAGTTATAATTAAAGTAAACCCATTTTGAATGAAATTTAGCAGAGTTTGTTACGGTTGAAGCCAAAGGTGGCATCTCTTTCTCTCTCTTTGGCTTTGTCCCCTCTGTCCTCGTGCGCTTTCTCCCAACAATTCGCTCTTCGGTTCCAACCTCAATACATGTCTGTCTGTCTCTGAAAAAAAAAGCCAGACTCAGAGATCTTCGCAACCCTCAAACTTTTGCGAATTTCAGAAGTGGAGTTTTTATTGGCCATCGTCACATGATTCCTATCGTTGCATTTCTTCTCTCCTTTTCTTCTGGTTCGTTTCTCTCTCTCTCCGAACCCTAACTACTTCCTCCTTTTGAATTCGCCTTCTCGACTTCAATGTCTCTTTTTCCCTCTCTGTTTTGCTTTTGAGTCGGATTTGTTGCTTTGAAAAGATGAAAAATAAATGATTAACGTGTTTTTCGACTTTTGATGCCGAAGGTGATACGTCGGTGTTGTCGGTTTGAGTTAAGATCTTATGTTTTGTGGTTTTTGGGAATTATGAAGGTGTTGAATGGAAATGTGTTTGTTTAATTTGCATTTTCTGAATTTGTTTTCAATTAGCGTTTCCAATTTCAATGGAAGCATGTTCAAATTGATTTGTTTATATACGTTTTTCAAATTTGTGCTATTAATCTTTGGTTGTTCAGTCTATTTTGAAATTTTAGTTTTTGGCAGCTTTTTTTTGCTGATGTCATTTGGACAAATTATTATCTCCTGTTTGTGTGTGCTTTTACCATTCTCGTGGTCTATTTGGATGGAGAGATAATGCTGAAAACAGAAAGTGATTGTTATAGATTATTATCATTATTATTATTATTTTTAAATTCAAGGGTTTTTAGCAAATATGATTCCTTACTGATTTTGACTTTTGTTTACATTTTTTATTTGGCTTGTGCTATTGCATAAATAGAATGTTTCTTCGTAACAACCATTTTTTTTAGTTTTTTTTTATTAGGAAGATAGCGTGAAATTTTATGGCTTGCATGTAAAATAAGATTGAAGTTGTTCCCCCTCCCCTCCCCTCCGAATTGCCACAAAGATATTAAACTGACTAAATTTTGGTCAATATGTTCAATTTGATACCTACTTCCGTAGCGGAATGTTTAGTTAGTTGGTTGTTGCAGTTTGGGCCGATGTTGATTTTTTATTCCAATTTCTAAACTGTCTGTATCATTCATTTTCACCCTTGTTTACTAACTTTATTTCTTTCTTCTTTTCGATCCTGCTTAATACTTGATATAGTTGAGGTTAGTTAGCACCGAAGTTTACACAGTGAATGTGAAATATGGATGTTGCTGAGCTCGAAGAAAATCTTTTTGCAGCAGGCGATGCCAAGGTATGATGATATATCTTTAGTTATTGTGAGAGCTTTTTTTGGAATTCTAATGCTTTCATATAGTAAATTAGTATCGTGTAAGAAAAAGTACTTTGAATATTTGACGTGTTTATGCTAAGGTATAAGTAAGGAGGCAAATTGCTTTTATTTTAGTCGTTTCTTTTGGGTGGGTATAAGCACTGTTTGATGCACATTTGTATGATTTTCTTTTATGCGTGTGACTTGTCACTGCTTTTGTTTAAGAAAATGTTTTTAATTACTGGTCAAACTAAACAAAAAAAGAGTATATTTTGCATTTTCCGTTTTGCCATGCTTTTTATGACCATTGATAAACATTCTGTGCATTTTTTTTGGGAGTGAATTCTCTGGTTTAATCTATCATCTAACCAATATATATCTTTTTTCTATTGCAGTTACATGGAGAAATGTGCAAGTGTCTTTCTGCAATATACTGCAAGATATTGTCATTGTTTCCTTCTTTAGAAGCCGCTAGGCCTAGGAGCAAATCTGGAATTCAGGCATTATGTTCATTGCATGTTGCCTTAGAAAAGGCAAAGAATGTTCTTCAGCACTGCTCAGAGTGTAGTAAACTTTACCTGGTATGATTGTTATTGTACAACTTTAGTTTTATTCTCTGATTTTGTCTCCTGTGTGAGGTGGATTCAATTTACTTTAGCTCTTTGTACATGTTATTTTATGTTGGTTGATAAGGTTATTTGATTTATGATACATTTGTGGAGGATCTTACATATAACTCCACTTATGATGCAGGCTATAACTGGGGATTCTGTTCTTCTAAAATTTGAGAAGGCTAAATGTGCTCTTGAGGATAGTCTTAAACGAGTGGAAGATATTGTTCCTCAGTCAATTGGTTGTCAGGTGAGAAATTTCAACAATATGGCTGTATACTGCTCTTTTTTAATGTTTTATTTCCCCCCCTTTGATTCTAGGTTCATTATAGTTCACTTTTACTCAGCCTTGCTAATTGCTTTTTGAATATCTGAGCAAAGGGGAGCCTATTTTACAAGTTACATTTATTCTTTACATAATAATTCAAAGCCATCATGTTATTTGCAATATTCTGAATTTGGCTTTTGTATCACTCTGACACTTTTATGTAAATGCACATGCACAATGGTACTCTTTTCATGTCATCATTGACAATATTTATTTTGTTCATATTTTGATATATTTTTTAAATTGGTATCTATTCAGATTGACGAAATTGTAAATGAACTTGCAAGTACCGTATTTGCACTTGATCCTATAGAAAAGCAAGTTGGCGATGATTTAATTGCATTGCTTCAGCAGGGAAGAAAGTTTAGTGACTCTAATGACTGTAATGAACTCGAATGTTTTCATCTAACTGCTACTAGAATTGGAATCACCTCTTCAAGAGCAGCTCTTACAGAAAGAAGATGTCTAAAGAAACTCATTGATAGGGCTCGGGCTGAGGAAGACAAGCGAAAAGAATCAATTATTGCTTTTCTTTTACACCTTATGAGGAAATATTCCAAGTTATTTAGAAGTGAGTTCTCTGATGATAATGATTCTCAGGGTTCTACACCTTGTTCTCCCACTGTTCACAAATATCTTGAGGATGGCATTCCT